TTTAGTTTGCATACTGAAACTGCAAACTTCTGGTTCAGCAGTTAACCTAACAGGGAAGTTTTTAAATGAACATTGATTTGAACAGACTTCATTTCAACTAAGTTTTGCTTACCTTCTAAGCTTCCACAGTTCATCATTTTTTTTTTACTGTATTTGTTTATCTTTTCATCATTTTGCATGTATTTTCTGAACCGGCTGTAAAATGGGAGATAATGGTTCTGAGCCTGAGTAAAGTTAGCCTCAGATGAGGAAGCCAGATATGGATAATCTGCAAAACAGATAATTTGCAGGCCAGGAAATAAGAGTGTACTATGTAGGTCTAACAACTACCAAAATCATTTCAGTCCTGCTACTTCACAGACAAATTCTTCTTCCAGTATACCAATGACAACAAATGGATCAAAAACTTAATTGCAGGCCAGAAATACCATAACCTTGGGACTAGTGAATTTGGGAAGATGCTTTTCAGGATAATATCAAAACTGCATCTTTAGCACATTACGTGTCTATTCTGTTCTCACTTAGTATATAACCTATGGGCCTGAAAGGTGGAATGCATGGGTCTCATTTACAGCCAGAGTTCATTAAATATGTACCTGGGATTAATTTATTTATCCTTAAATAAGGAGATCATACTTTATGAACTAGTAATTAGGTCATATGTTCTTATAAATATGAGCAAACTTTTATGAAGAAGATACTCTAAGAAACTGGGACTGCTATGGAAACAGAAAACTGACTCAGAAATAAAACTCATATCACAGTACTAATCTTAATTTATATTTCAGAAGTGCACATTCCCATTTACTGCAAAAATAGCTCTGCTTCTTTCAATCTTGAACACAACCACTTCATCAGCCTTCTTTCATATAAGATTCTTAACTTTCACATTAGAAAGCAGGGTTGACTTTTAACCTGCAGCAGTTACAAAGATCTGGAAGACCTAGTGCTCTGAGTCAAGTTTCTTTTCAGGCAGGAAAACCAAGAGGTACCTTTCGTCCACACCAAATGCCCCTTGCAGAATTCAGAATGATTTTTGGGTCAGGGAGATTTCCTGGCACAGGCCCCTTTGTCACTGAATGACATGCCGTAATCATTCTAAACATTTATTTAAAATATATTTATATATATATATAAAGAGGGACATTATACTCTCCTTTGTGCAGTGGGCACATCACTACATGTCCACTTAAAGGTGTAAACTGAGGTCTATTTCCCATTCTACAGATAATAGCTGTAATGTTATTGCAAACAAGCATCAAGAGCCTGAAAATTAACAGCAATGAGAACACCATTTCTGATTCTGTTGGAAGGCAGGGACTACTGTTTATGATTCCAATGCAATTTGAAAAAATTGCCTATTGCCTTATGCTTTTTCAAAAATGTAAAAATACATATCATAATTCACAGAGTATTGTCCTGAGATATTTCTTAACCATGTATTGGATTCTGTATCAACACATGTTTAACAAAAAGATTTTCACAAAGATTCAGCAGTCCTGATTAAGACAAATTTGACAAGGACAGCAGTAGCACTTGTGAAATATTGCATGTCTGTGTCTAGGCATAGAATGAGTTCCCCAGAATAGGTTGGAATATTCTGTTTACTGACACGACTTCACCATAACAAAGCAAGAAATCAAAATGTTTACTTACCAAGTTTCACCATATGTGTGCAACTGGAGACTGAGGAGTTATTTTTTATTATGCAAGTCCCTTCCCTTTAGAAGTCAGTAGTATAACAGTTTCAAAATATATCCTATTTATTCAATTTAGTTTGCATACTGAAACCTCAAACTTCTGATTCAGCAGTTAACAGGGAAGTTTTTAAATGATTTTGCTTTTGTTTAAAAAAAAAAAATCGACACTAGCATGACTTGAGGTTGACATTGACTGTGAAAGTATAAAGTTAGTCTAACTGAATGTCAACTGTGAGAGCTGGAACTCGATGGGGCTGCCTTGCTTTTCCAGGACTCACAAGTTTTCTGCCTCTGACAGGATGCAGTCTTACTGCTTTTTCTTTTGCTCTCTAAAAGTAGAAAATATTTCTGTTTTCCTTCTCTAACAGGTTCCTGCCTTACATGGGTTCTGGCTTCTTGCGGGTTACACTGACTTCTTGGCAACAGAAGGAACCAAGTGATAATGTAGCTTACACACACACACGCACACACAGAGAGAGTGCTATTGAGTTGAATCCGACTCATAGTGACCCCTCCTTGGGTTTCTGGGGCAATATCATTACAGAAGTAGATTGCTCAACCTTCCTTCCAAGAGTGGCTGGTGGGTTGGAGCTGCCAGCTTTCTGGTTAGCAGTCAAATGCCTTAGGCACTACTCCACCAGAGCTCAGTACCCTACTTTTACACGTAAAACAAAATAAAACTGAAAATCAGTATGAAATGATTTGCCCAAGGTCAACATGTCAACTCTTGACTCTTAGGCCTACAGTCATTCCTGTGGCACTCACTAACTCCTTTTCACAGAAAGCAAAAGGAATGTTGATTCCTTCTCTCCTCCCTATCACCTGGTGACTGTAATGCTTGACTGTTCCCGTTTCAATCATTTGCAAGAAAGAACAATGCACCTACCCTTGAGAAGATTCTGATTAGGATGACCCTCACCTAATTAGCTTTTGGCAACATTTCTTATCATGTGAAAACAACTAAAGGATCTCAAATCCCAAGAATCCAAATCACTAAAGGAGTTGCTTCTGTTTCATCCTAGAAGTAAATGTGTGTGATGGACTTCCAGGGCGTTTCTTGAATCAGTTACAAATAGCCACAAATAGCCCTGGAAGCATAGTTCTCAGTATAAAAGATTCACAAATGGTTCCTTTCAGTAACTGCAATGAAGCTAAAGCATGGCTGCCTTTGATTTGGGAAAATGTTCTGAATTCACAGATGCACCATAGGCCCTATTTGCACAAATCCTATTGAGAAGTGCCCCTATGCACATATCTTGAGTGACCAAACACTTCCTTCTCAGTGCAGAAACAAGACCTAAAACCAAAAAGACAAACTTACTGCAGTCAAGGTGATTCTGACTCATAGTGACCCCTTAAGTCAGAGCAGAACTGCCACATAGGGTTTCCAAGGCCGTAATCTGTCTGGAAGCAGACTGCCACATCTTTTTCCCATGGAGCAACTGGTGGGTTCAAATTGCTAACCTTTTGGCTAGCAACCAAGCTCTTAACCACTGCACCACCAAGGTTCCTCTAATCAAGACCTAGATATTCGAAAATAAATGTATCTTGAAAGAAAAAAAAAAAAGAAAGAAAGAAAAACACATTTAGTGGTGAACGAAGACTATTTGGCTTGGAAGCCCATGACTGTCACATCTTGACCCTCCTACCCTCTAGAAAACTATGTGAGAGAAAGGAAGACCCCAGGTTCCCCAAACTATTATAATTCCTGGGTTCTCAGCAGTCATCTATTATAATATGTTTCATCAATTAAAATTAACTTTTCAGATTTGAAAAGGTGGTATCAGAGAAACAAGTATAGAACATTTTCTCTTTTAAAAAACATAGTCAAATCATTGCTATTATGGGATGTTCAATAAACGTTCTATGCTGAGAGCCTTTAAACTATTTTAAGATATAATCTGACCTAGTTGGATATAGCATAAGAAAGATGGTACTTTGTGCACAGAATCAACTTTTTATACCATGACATGCCTGGGATCTTTCCCAAAGAAGAAATTCCAGCAATTATGCAATGATAGACTACTTTACCTGCAAGCAACTTCTTGTAAGCAGCTCAAAGTTAATCACTATAAATTTCACAATATTCTAATAAAGTAGATCTAATTCATAGGTTCTAAATCCCATTTTCTCCCAGAGGAAGACTAAGAAATTTAGGTATAACTTCAGGAATTGATATGAAACTCAACAGTTTGCCCAAGCTCTCATTTGCTTTCCATGCCAACACTGTGATATACGAAATGCTTTTTCACTAGTGAGGGAATTTGGGCACGGAGACGATAAGGATCTTTTCCAAATTAATGGTGACCCAAATAACCTTACTCCTACTTTAATGCATCTTACACTTTTGTCCCAAATCCAAAATACATTAAAATGCATCTTTGAAGTCATGTTATATATCAGTTCCTTGTTTCATCATTCACTGTAGTCCCCTAGAGATCTTTGCTCTGCATGTCCAATCAACATTCCTGCTTGCTGCCTTTCATTCTTTCACTGATGTTCCAGAAAGGTGTTTCTCTGAAACAGTAGGGAAGGAGTGGGGAGAACAATGTATCTTTGCTTTTCAAACTTGAGATAAATTCACTCTGAATTTCAAATGTCATTAAGGTAAGATTTATATAATTATCAAAGGGTAGCTTGGGTTACAAAAGCTCGAGAGAGGCTATTCTAGATTGGGTTTTTCTTTTTTTGTAAGTTCACAGTTGTCAGAGTCCATTATGTGCTGAGCTGGTCTACATAGTATTTTTTTTTTTTTTTGCCAAAGCTCAGCACAACCGTTTTTTAAAGGACAGAAGCTAAAGAAACATTGGAGAGTAAGTCCTCTTACATACTGTTTCCTAGCCTCTATGTCTCATTACAACTTAACCACACACATCTCATTTTATCTGTTACCTTACACTCTAGAACATCTTGTGGTGAGTTATATGCAGTTATATGTGTTATAAATACCTTTTGATAAATGTGATAGTGATGGTGATGATGTTGAAAAATGTTTTGACAGTTCCTTCTTACATCCATTTTAGCAAATAGAATGCTAAATTCTGAGGTGAGTCCCCACATTCTACTCTAGCATAGCTGCACAAAGAAATAAACTTTAAAAATCTAGCATTTAGGTTGCACATTTAATAGAAAGATCTTAAGCCATAGTCATGGTACTTGCTGGGCATCATATTTCTTCCAGAATTCTTTCAGTGCATGCAAAAACTTTGGTAAAATTATTCTGGATAGAAAAGGTAGAAGAATATTTAAAATTAGTATGGTTTGGGAAGCATGATTGTTAACAGACCAATTTCAAAAGATTCAGTTCTTAAATTTTACTTTGCAGTCGCTTTGCAGATCAGTTATGTAGATTTGAAAAGAAGAGGGAATCATGTGCCGTTATCTGCACAGCCGTTAGTCTCACACAAAGAAAAGAACAATAAAACAAGACTAAGAAATCATTCTTTCAATGATTGTCATTGAACTGTTACATTAGTAAACACTCACAGTATGAAGTCTCTCTCAATCTCCAGGATATAAAATAGTGCAAAGGAAAAAAAAAAAAATTCCAGTCCTGTTATCTGCAAACAAAACTTGTTACATCTCCTTTGATTTCATTTCTTCAATAATGTTAGGCATTTGCTATCGTATCTTCCCAAAATTAATAACAAAATATAATCGATTTCAAAAGGCCCCTGCGGCCTTTTTAAAAGTTAATTTCCAGTTAAAAATAAACTTTAATTAAATCCAAGATAAAATCGTGACCTATATTCTATTAAATAATTTACTTTCTTTTTTTTTCTACACAGTAATTCTTACAATTTTTAAAAAACAGCAACTATGGATTCCAAAGACATATGAGATGCTATTAAAGCACTGATAAATGACTGCTCAAATTCATTAATTCTTACATAGTAAATACTTCAAAATGCCAACTTTTCCCATCACTGCACAGTTACTAACAATGTTGACAATTTACTTACACACATACCTGCAGACACACACGCACACACACACATACAGTCTCTCCGTGGAACCATCTTTACTGTTAACATCTTTTCCAGTTCATGTGCAAAATTTTTGCATTCTAATAAAAAATATAAAGATAGATTTGCTCCTATTTAAGCCTCCCTCTTCTCCAAAATGTATCATTTATTTGATATGTAATACAAGTTTAGCAACAATTATGTCATGTATAACCATTAAATGGCGTACTACTGTATGCATTGGACTCATTTGCATATTTCATTTTCATAACTGCACTCTCTATGCATAAATATATTTGGAGATGCTGGGGGGAGGAGAGGAGTGTCAAGTGGAGAAAGAGATTCACACATCAGTCTCCACTGCCTTCACATTAGAACAGTTGTTTTTATCTGTCTCACTGTCATCCCCCTTTCCCTGACATTTCTCCTCCTTTGCACATAGAGACTCTTTAACTCCTTCTTCCATCTCTAGATATTCTGACTTGTCCCCTAGGGAAGAAGAAGTAGAGCTCCGAAATTTCTTCAGCAAATTGGAAGGGAGGTATGGGCAACTGACTGCATTCTGTGTCAGCTGTGTCTGTTCCTCATTTTCAGTCTCTCTGTGGTAGAAATAGTTAAAGTTAGAGACAATCACTGGCACTGGCAAAGCAATGGTTAAGACACCCGCAATGGCACACAGCGACCCCACTATCTTGCCCCCCACAGTAATGGGCTTCATGTCCCCATAGCCCACAGTTGTCATGGTGACCACAGCCCACCAAAATGCATCTGGGATGCTTTGGAAATGGGTAGTAGGTTCATCTGCTTCTGCAAAATACACAGCACTGGAAAATAGGATGACCCCAATGAAAAGGAAGAAGATCAGAAGGCCCAGTTCCCTCATGCTGGCTCTGAGGGTGTGGCCCAGGATCTGCAAGCCTTTGGAGTGCCTGGAGAGTTTGAAGATCCGGAATACTCGGACCAGACGGATGATTCTGAGGATGGCAAAGGACATGGCCTGCTGCTGCTGCCCATTGCCACCTCCCTGTTGCTGGGCCAGATCAGTGCCCAATGTGATGAAGTAAGGCAAAATGGAGACGATGTCAATGATGTTCATGATGTTTTTGAAGAAAAGTGCTTGGCTGGGACAAGCAAAGCAGCGGACCACAAACTCAAAGGAAAACCAAACAATACAGACTGTCTCCACAATGAAGAAAGGGTCATTGAATATTGTATGCCCTGAGTTCTCTGGGTGAGGCGTCGAGGTGTCATTCAACAACCCACCATGCCCACCAGCACTCAGTGCCATGATGAGATCCCTGTCGTCCCTAAACTCAGGCAAGGTTTCGAGGCAAAAGATGACAATGGAGATTAAGATGACCAGGACAGATACAATGGCTATGCCCCTTGCTGGACTGGAGCTCTCTGGATATTCAAAGAGAAGCCAAATCTGCTTTTTAAATTCATTCTCTGGCAGCGCCCTGTCCTCCTCCTCTCTCACGAAGCCCTCATCCTCACGAAACTTGAGCAGAGCCTCCTCTCCCAATTGGTAGAACTTCACCTCCTCAGTGAAGATATCAAAAGGGACGTTGACCGGTCTCTTCAGGCGGCCTCCCGATTGGTAGTAATACAAGATGGCATCAAAGCTGGGTCTGTTCCTGTCAAAAAAATACTCGTTGCGCAAAGGGTCAAAGTACTGAGTCCTCTTCTCAGGGTCTCCCAACAAAGTCTCTGGAAACTGGGCTAGGGTTTTCATCTGGGTCTCAAAGCGTAAGCCTGATACATTTATCACCACACGTTCACAACAGTCACTATAGCGGACTGAACTATAGCCACCTCCTCCCCCATCATCATGAGGGAGCAAGTCTGTGTAGGAACATTCATCACCGTGGTCATCTTCACTATAGTAAAACCTTCCTTCTTCTTCTTCCTCCTCCTCCTCCTCTTCATCTTCCTCTTCCTCACTCAGCTCCCTCAGGATCTTCTCCTCAGAGCCACTGGGCATCAGGTCGGTGCAATGAGGAAAGCTGCTCTGACGGTGATGGACTTTCTTCTTCTCAGGCCGTTGTCGCCTCCTCTTCCGACTGCCCCGGCTACTTGGAGGGTCATGAGAGGTACAGGCCCCACGTGACTGGTGGTGGTGGTGTGGGCCCCCTCCAGAACCCCCACTGCCTTCAACAGCAGCCGTGGCTGCTGCAACAGCGGCTGCTGCAGCTGCTCTTGAGTGAGCAAGCCTCTCTCGCTCCCGGGCTCGGGCCTGGGCTGCGTAACCATAAGGCATATGACTGTTGCACCCTGAGCTCTCTGCACTCACCATTGCAACCTCCATGGTGGTGGTTTTGGGAAATGGCTGGTTCCAGTTGTAGAAGAAAAAAGGAAAATAGGGCAGCTTCTTTTCTCACCAAACGAAGGTAAGTTTGGAACCCTTAAGCAGATTGCTTGGAAGACTAAGGATATTTTCAGTCCAACTTTGCATTTTCTGTTTTTAAATCAGCACACCCCATGCTCTCACTTCCCAGGGATTCAACATTGCTCTCCAGAGCTTGGCTGGTTTAAATAAACAGCCTAGCACTTTTAGGCCCAAGTCAGAAAAGGTAGGCGTCTCCCAAACACCTATGTTCTGGGGTAGATGCTCAAATCTGGAAATTTGTCTAGAATGTGGTTGGTGATGATGTTGCACAATTCATAAGCAGAAAGTATCTGACAGCCAGCACTTGTGCCTAGAAAATGAAATCTATTTTTCTGCCCTGGAAATTGTCCAAAGCTCAGTCCATCAGATTGAAATAAAATGCAAAGAAGCCTTCAGTCTTAGCGCTTGCCTTCTAGGGACTGCTTGACCCATGTTAAGATGTGACTTGAAATATGTCCAGCCATTTCTGTGTAAAGCCTATCAGGATGATTCTCCAGGTTCTCCCCCTTAAGTTCATCAAAAGCTTCCAGAACCCAGGGGCAATGCCAAGCTACAGGGAGAGGCAAAGACTCTGGGAGGTAGAGAATTTGGAAGATGAGGTGTCAGCGGGGCCAAAACCAGCTCTGAGGTCTCCATAGAAATCAAAAAATTGCACAGCATCCTTCGGCTAAAATCATGCAGAAGAAGCGCTTCACCTGAAAAAGGAAGGGAAATAAGCATAGGAGAAAAATAAAAAGAGGAATAAAATCATAAAGAGTAAACTGAGTTTTTCTTTCACATAAACTTCCTTCTCTTATTCTCCAGCAAACCATACAAAACACCAAGCAACCACATATTTATTTTCAAGAGTACGAGGCAGGCTATTCTTACCTCCCCCTTTCACTAAACATCACTCTTTCCTTCTTTTTTTGGTTATTATTACAGCTCAGTCTATTTTCATGGCAATTCAATTATTTTTCCTCTCTCTACTCTCGACCCACATGGCTCTTGCTTTAATCCTCTCACCAATGCCAAGTCTCAGTTCTCATTTTCTTTGTATCACAATAACTAAGCTAATACTTTAGAGCTGCTTCCATCATTCATTTATCTCAAGGCATTATTATTACTTCTTTTTTTTTTTTCCACTCACAAATTATATCTGAATTTAGTCCTTCCACTCCTCTCTATCTTGATTCAGGAGCAAGGAAGTCAACCAAACCAAATTTCTCTAATCTAAGCCTCTAGCCACTGGAACAAGCCTCAATCACCCCATCTAAAAAGTGCAAATAATAATGCTAATTACTCCATCTCACTCTTATAAGAATTAAATGAGATAATGCATGTTGACAGAATAGCACAGTGCCTTATATCTAATGAATGACAATAAATGCTGGCAGTTACTAATGACATGACAGTAACTTATCCCTAAGCGCTTAGGACTTTATGCCACTACTGTCTGAAACAGGAGAAAGACAGAAGGTGAAGAAATCTGGGACATTCTAAGACTCACCAGTGCCCTGTATTAGGTTGGCATTCCCTAAAGTATGTCCCTATTGTTTTTTTGTTGTTGTTGTTATTGTTCCCCAGAACTCCTGAACACTCCCTACCACCCACACCTAGGAGCTAATCCTAGTTTCCACATCAATAACAATCATTTTCTCTCCTTTCCTGTTCACCTCCGTAGGTCCTCCTACACTCTTCTCAAGGGACATCTAATTATTTTTTTAAGTGCCAGTTTGTGTGGACTTTATTCTCAGGCTATCATGCTTTGCTCCCCATTTTGTAATCCACACCTCCCACCCTCCAACACTCTCTCTCTCTCTCAACATCCACTTTTGTTTCCAATCTTCCACTTCTTAGTTCCACCAACTTCCTAGCAGCCCCAGTCTGTTCCCACTGACACTTGGTTTTCTCGGCCTTTCTTCTTCAATTTACTCTTGCAAAGTCTAGCTAATTTACCTCCTCAGCCAAGATCTGTTAAAACTGCTGCCCCAATCTCTTCTTCCCTTCTGCTTCTTCCACTCATTTTGTCCAACAAGACTTCCAAGAATGTAGGGAATGGCCCATAGAATTGAGGAGGGTGATGGCTTCTACCAGCTTCTATTACAGGAAGCACTTGAAGAGCACAAGAGAAATGGCTTTCTGAAGCCATTATCAGGATTCAGCTCCTTGACCACCTGCTGCTCCTTGCTGAATCTTGTCAGCCTAGAAGCCTAAACACACTGAGTTTTTTGAAGTGAAAACCAGGGAAGTGGCAAAAAGAGGGCATCCCAATCAGATACCTTTTCCCAATACACACATTCCCCTAGGAAAAGAGGGGAGCTCTACTGGTATACACAATCCAGAAAACATACCCCTGAAGGTATCTCACAAGACATTCTCTTTCATTGCCTCATTCTTAATATCACCACAGATGCTGAAATGTTTACCCTTAAGAGGTCTCCAAATCTCTACCTACAAAACCGCCCTGGGGTTATGGTCACAGTGGAGTGTGAGACCATATCCTTTGAAGACTTTCACAGGCCAAATAACCTGAGAGTTTGCTTACTCTCTTACCTAACTCCCACAAAGCAGTAATGATACACTATTTAAATAACCACACTGACTATATATTTGTATACACACATTCCTCTACCGCTTTCAAATGACTCCTCCGAAAATCACGAATGAGGGGGACTTTTAATTTACCATCAGCTGTGAAGGAGAGCCAGAGCTGTTCTCTTTCTGATCCACACCAAACAATCTCCCAATTTGTTTATTTATATGTTTGTTTTTGGCTCATTAGTTTTTATTTCTCTAACTCCTCACCCCACCCCTATCCTACAAAAAGCAAATTGCCTTCCCTTTAATCCGCTATCAGCTACCTCACTATCTTTAGTCTTAAAAAATAAATAAATGAAAAAGAAATAAATAAAAATCCTGTCAGCAAACCAGAGTGGTTTAAAATCTTCCTTCCCCAGGTATTCATATTAGAAAAATCCATTCAAGCTGACTCCAGGGAGCCTTAATAGGAAAGACCTTTGCAGGAAAATTTCCCTTCCTCCCTTAACACTGTTAAACTAATAGGATTCTGCAGACTACCTCTTTCCCCAATCCCTGCAGCCCCTAACAACAGCCAAGCAGCCCGCCTCTCCTCCCCCCCCCCCCCTCCCCTCCCCCCCCCCCCCCCCTCCCCCCCCCCCCCCCACACCCCAATGACAAGCGCTGTTTTCATCTCTTAGGGCTAATTCCTGCAACAATCTTAAACTGGTACCTGAACCTTATCTCTGAGGGAGAGAAAGAGAGTGAGAGAATATGAATCCGAAAGGCCAACCCCATGAGAAACATACACTTCAACGCACGCCATTTATACAGTCCCTATGTGTTGTTCAAATGCTTAGAAAATGCACGCAAAACCGAATGTTGGGAGAGGCAGCAATTCAAACCCGTTCACCAGCTGTTCCCAAAGGAACAGAACCGGTGAGGCTGGGATGAGGCACAACGATGCTAAATCTAAACCCCACCTCGTTGGGGAACGACATCTTTAATCGCGCCCTCGCCTCCACACCTAGGTTCCCGCTCCCGCACATTAAGCAGGGCGCACGCACCCCATCCTCGGGGTTAGGAAAATAACAACTGTTGGCCCCCCGGAGCGCCGCGCAGCATCTGCACCCCCCTTCTTCCCCCTCCTGGTTTATTTTTAACTGCCTTCCATTCATGCCCTTCTGTCACATTCCCGATATTATTTATCCCCCAAATGTCCACTGTTTCTTAGCAGCCAAAAGAGGAGGGTGGAGGAAAGATAAGAAAGGTATCATACTTACCGTTCCCAGGCAGGGCGAGATACAAAAATAAAGACAATCCCCGGGTTGGTTTGTTTTTCCTCCTCAAGCTGAAACAGCTGGAGGAGGGGAAGAGTGATCTTGGGGTAGAAGAGTGCACTCCGGGTTTGGCAGGTAGAGGCTCCAAAACATCCACGGAACAAGTTCTGCTGCCTGGCCACAGAGTCCTTGCTGCTGGAGCCTGGGGACCGGGGATCGGGTTGCCTTGGGGAAGACCCCAAGAGTCCTGGTTCCTCTAGAGTTCAGCACGAGAGGGCTCGACTCAGTAAGGAAGTCAAGGTTCCCCCAAAAAAGAAACAAAATCCTAGACAGCAGCGATCACTTGTTAAGCCTGAATTCCTCCTCCCATATCCATCCTTCTCTCCCTCTCGCTAGCTGCAGAAGCAGCACACGCCTCCCCTGGCCGCGAACGCGCGCCGGGCGGGGGCGGGGCCAGGGCCTGGGCGAGGGTGTGGTGTTCCAGGCAGTCTCCAGGGGCGCCTCCCCGCGCGGCCAGTCCGGCTCAGTCACGACGTTACGACTCCCCGCCCCCTGTCCTGGCACCCTGATTCCCGAGTTCTGGGGAGCGACTGGGAACAAGTCCAGGAGCCGCTGGCTGTAGCCTCAGAGGCAAAGAACAAATCCCAGAGGGGGAATCAGCCTTGTTGGAGCTGGAATGAGGGTCCCGACGGCATCGCGGGGGTCCCCAGAGAAGTTGGGAAAGGACACCCGAGAGGAAGTCCGGTCTTGAAACCGGGGTGCTCCCGGGCGTCTTCTCCTCTATCCCCTGGACGGGTTTGTGGAGTCGGGGGCACGGTACTATCTCTGGCGAGGCTGCCCCCAAGGTGCTTTCCCTGAGCCTGTGAGCGCGCCGCGGCCCTCTCGGTCTTCGCCTGTGGTCAAGGCATTCAGCTCACCGGAGTTGGTCGGGCCTCAGCGCGCGGGTCTGACCTCCGGGTCGTGCAGGAGGCTGACTCTAAACGCTTACTGGACCCCCAGTGAGGGATGGTGGCAGAAATTGGAATTAGGCCTAGGCTGGGCACTTCGTACGGACTGGAGAGAGTTGGAGCGCTTCCAGCAGGTTTCAAGTACAGCCAAGGAGCAGGGGGCTTGGGAAGGACACGGGAGGAGCCCCCAGGAAACCTGTTGCAGCAGAAAAAGAAATAGGACTCGCTCGGAGCTTTGGCTGTACGGTAGTGGCCGGATCTGTAGCATCATCTACCTCCATTTAAAACAAAAAGTTCTACCTTGCCGGCGGTGGGGTGGTCAGTAGGCTCGCAGCAGCATCCTCACCCCAGGACGGACTCGCACGTTTGCTTAGTGGATGGCTAATTTAGGAAATGCCCCTGAGCGTGGATGGAAATATGCAATTCCCACAAATACACCAAAATGAAGGTTAGCCTTGAGCACGAATTTACACACAGAAACTGACGCACACCAGAAGCCCAGGTGGCGACCGGGTCTTGGGCACCTGCCCGCTCCTAATAGGCCAAGCAAGCAGTGGCCCTGCGCACCTCACCGCTAGAGCAAATCCCACTTCGGGCGTGCCACTTGGCGCCTGGGCGGCCACGATCGATCGTCCTTTGCCAACAGCTTTGTTAGAGGGCCCTATTGGGCCTCCTCCTTTGTGGCGCTGTATTAATTATTAAGGGAAATATTCCTGAGCTGAATTATAGATATGCCCTGCACTTGCTCACTAGTCGGTGCTGGCTTGGTATAGGACACCTGGAAGACTGCTTTCCGTACCTGCTGGATTTTTCTTTTCTTTTCTTTTTTAAATAACTGAAAATGTTTGAATTATCTCAGTGAAAAGAAAAGGAAAGGGGTTGGGGAAGATCTGGCATGAGGCCTGATTTTCCTAGCATCTTCTTGTTAGTGAAGCTTGGACTTTGGGCATGAAAAATTTTACCTGCCACCCCTAGTTTCAGCTGCTGGTGGAAGACTGAGAGAAAGGTATCTCCCCAATGGATCCCAGGAGACTCTTTGCCTTATTCGTTCCTTGGGATAGTTGATTACAGCAACCAGGTAGAGTTGATTTCTCCACATGTTAATACTATCCTTCATGCTGCCCCAAGTACTCTGTTTCTCCACAAAGTGATGCAGTCACTGTGTAGTTTTATACATATCAGAAGCAGATAGTTCGTGGATATTGTCGGTTCATCAAAGGATGTTTCTTGGGATAGTAGAAGGCAGGGCTGAGGGCACAGGATCTTGGGACTAGTTTCCCAAAAGCAATTTGTAAAATCAGTCCAGAGCAACTGTGGGATGCTTTCAGGGAGATGGAAAATTAGATTGGGGATGTACAAAAGATGACAGTTATAGCGAAGACTGACCATTTTAATTGGCTCATGTTAAAACTTTATGAATAATGATTCCCTGTGCCATCTGTAGTTCCTACCAGGGCCCAGAGAACTTTAAAGATTAAAACACCTGAGGACTTTATAAATATTTGTATTTCTTAGGTAGCAGGAATCTGAATTAGTACAGCACAGGGAGACTATAGCCTAGAAAATGACACTCTCACCAAGACATTCACTCAGATCATACAATAAGTATTTATTGAGGACTTGATCAAGGCAGTAACATTGATTGAGTGTACCTACTGCCTAACTCTGGGCTAAATTCTTTACATGTATATGAGCTCTGGTGGTGCAGTGGTCAAGGCATTCAGCTTCTAACCAAAAGATCAGTGGTTCAAACCCACCAGCTGCTCCATAAGAGAAAGATAAGGCAGTCTGCTTCAGTGAACATTTACAGCCTTGAAAATTCCATGGGGAAGTTCGACTCTGTCCTGTAAGGTCACTATGAGTTGGAATCAACAGCAATGGATTTTGATATATTTTCAAAATCTATCTGCGTGACTAAATATGTGGTAAGCACTATTATTATCACTGTCTCATAGAGTAGCAAACCAAAGATAACAACGCTTAACTAAGTTGCCCAAAGCCACATAGCCAGTTATTGAGAGCACTAGACCTCAGACTCAGGTCTGTTGACTGTGCTATATAGACAGATCCTATGTTGGATCCTAGTCATGATATTACCACATGGTCTCTATCCTTCAGTCCTCACAAGCCAGTGGGCATCACAAATACACAGACAAATTACAGAACAACGAGATGCATGTTATGATAAAAGTATAAAGATGGTGTTCCTGGGATACAGAATGGAGCAGCATGTAATGTGAGAGAATCAGGCAAAAGTTCAGAAGGGAAGACATGATTCTTCTGAGGAATCGTGGGAATTGGATTGGCTACGTGAAGAACACAGGGGCTATGGCACTGGGGAGAAGCAGGGGCTAGAAGGTGGAGAGAGAGATTGGCTCCAATTGAGAAGACATATAATACCCTCAATCTTTCCCTCCTCCCATACACACAACTGTTCGCCCTTTTAAGTGATTTATTTATAAACCAAATAAGAAACATTCTATTTCTCTTCTTGAAATTCTCTCAGGAATTCTTAGAAACTCAGCCCAAATAAACAATAGTCGGAAGATGCTTTGCTTGTGTCCAACAAAAATCTACCTTGTCTCTTTCCAAAAATTATTTTCATTGGACAGGAAAAAATTCTTTGCATCCTTTCTAAGTCATTGACTAGTAAAAATTCTTTAAGCTCCCTACCCCCAAATACACCTATCGCCACAAATATTTTATCCTTGGCTTTGAATTCTCTCAGTGGTAATATAAATGTTTCAGGCACACTAGGAAACTTTTGACTATATGTTGTACTTGTTACTGCCATCGAGTCAGCCCCAACTCATAGTGACCCCTCCTTGGGTTGCCAAGGCAGTATCACTACAGAAGTAGATTGCCCAACCTTCCTTCCGAGGAGTGGCTGGTGGGTTTGAATCGCCAGCCTTCTGGATAGCAGTCAAGTGCCTTAAGCACCATGCTACCAGCGCTCAGGGACAAAGTGCAGCAGATCTGTTTCTTTTGTAAAAGTACCATTGGAGGCCCTGTGGGGTATAAACTAAGTCCATTATAAATGTTTTTGTTCTCTCTGACTACTGTGGCCCTCAGTGAATTGCAGTGTTCTATGTACTTCTCCACTGTCTCCCCAGAAAGCCTGTGACACCTTCCTGAAAACAAGTGCTGAACCCCTAAGCATCTAGCACTATACCTGTTGCAGAGTGGTGCTGCTGTTGTTAGATGCCATCATAGGATCCAGCTCACAACTCTATAAACAACAGAATGAAACACTGTCCAGCACCATCCTCACAACCCTTGCTGTGGTTGAGCCCATCATTGTAGCCACTGTGTCAATCCATCTGCTGACCCTCTACTTTACTGAGCATGATATTCTTCTCCAGGGACTGGTCCCTTCTGACAACATGCTCAAACTACTGGAGACCAAATTTGGCCATTCTCCTTTCTAAGGAGCATTATGGGAGTTCTGGAAGCATAGTGCCTAAGTCACTTGACTGCTATCTAGAAGGCTGGCAGTTCAAACCCACCAGCCACTCCTCAGAAGGAAGGTTGGGCAATCTACTTCTGTAATGATACCACCTTGGAAACCCAAGGAGGGGTCGCTATGAGTTGGGTCTGACTCAACAGCACATAACAACAACAACAACAAGGAGCATTCTGGCTATACTTCTTCTGAAAAAGATTTGTTTATTCTTCTAGCAGGCCATGGTATTTTCAGTATTCTTTGACAACACCACAATTCAAAGGTATCAATTCTCCTTTGGTCTTCCTTATTCACTGTCCAACATTCATATGCCTATGAGCCAGTTGAAAATACTCTGGCTTCAAAGTGTTAGGGACACATTAGTCTTCAAAGTGACATATTTGCTCCTTAACACTTTAAAGAGGTCTTTCGCAGCACATTTTCCCAGTGCATTATGATATCTCACTTCTTAACTGCTGCTTCCATGGGTGTTGATTGTGGATCTAAGGAAAATGAAATCCCTGACAACTTCAATCTTTTCTCCATTTATCATGATACCACTTATTGGTCCAGTTGTGAGGATTTTTGTTTTCTTTATGTTGAGGTGTAATCCATACTGCAGACTGTAGTCATTAATCTTCATCAGTGAGTGCTTCAAGTCATCTTCACTTTGAGCAAGAAAGGTTGTGTTGTCTGCATATTACAGGCCATTAATAAGTATTCTTCCAATCCTGATACTGCGTTCTTCTTCATATAGTCCAGTTTCTCGTATTATTTGTTAAGCATAGAGATTGAATGTTATTGTTGTTGTTAGGTGCCTTTGAGTCATCTCTGACTCATAGCGACCCTATGCACAGCATAAAGAAATACTGCCTGGTCCTGTGCCAATCTCATGATCCTTGCTATACCTGAGCCCTTTGTTGCAGGCACTGTGTCAGTCTATTTCATTGACCCTCCGTTGACCGTCCACTTTACCAAGCATGATATCCTTCTCCAGGGAACGGTTCCTTCTGATAACATGACCAAAGTAGGTGAGACAAAGTCTGG